TTTATTTTGTATCTCATGAAAAAATTTCTTTAAAAATAATTAGTAATTGTTTTAATAGCATAGTCAAACAACTTTTAGAATCTTATAAACAATTGTTTCTTAATAATAATAATAATAATAATATTATTAATATCTATAATCTATAATCTATAATCTATAATCTATAATAATATAAAGAGGTTGTTGGAAAAATACAAAAAAAGTAAGTTTGACTTCAAAAAATAATCCTTCGACTTACTACTTTAAGTAATAATTACTACTTTAGGTAATAACCAAGAAGGTCCCACAAATTAAATTAATTATTAATTATTAATTAACATAAAAATATGGAATATCATAAATCAATCCTTCTATTAAGTAATTTTAAACTATTTTTAGCTGATTCTGTGCAAATTTTGTGTTCGCATGTGCATTGCCTTCCAAGAATTTTCGGATTTTGTTACCTAATTATGATGATTTCTCTCATATTATGCTGATTTTTTAGTTGATTCTGTTTTTATGCTGATTCCTTTTTTATTTTTCCAAAAACATCTAATTTTAATAACAAAAAAAGTTATAAAATCGCATAAATCGGCTTACCAAATTCTCTTACCGATATTTTGTCATATATTAAGAGATAAGAATTATCTTTTATTTTGCCAACTAATCATTATTATATAAAACATCTCATTTTTAATAACAAAAAAAGCTACAAAATCGCATAGTGAGGCTTACCAAATTGTCTTATCGATTTTATGCCATATATTAAGAGATAAGAATTATCTTTTATTTTGCCAACTAATCATTATTATATGAAAGATATCCGACTGGAATAAACGGTGATATTCATAATAAAATAAATCGGGTATTGTCCCTTAAGAAGATTAGTACAAGCAATAAATCCGTAAACATCCATAAAAACCCACAAGAATCGTAAAGTTAATCATTACTATATAAATATTAACAAACTTGAACAACATATATTCTACATCATACACATCTCGCACTACAACTTTTTTTACGAAGCTTTTCAACATCATCTCAACGTGCCTTTGAATTTTAGAGTCATCAGGATATCCACAGATCCAATAAGTCACCAATCAAGCTACACATAATTAGGATGTTCCAACGAGTTGAAGACGTACGCAATTACCGGAATTTTCTAGAGATTATCTTTCACGATTCGGAGGTAATATGTTCACACATTCATACTGTATTTAATTTAAATTTAAAGTTATTTTATTGTGCTTATTAAATTATTTAATAATTTAATATGTATTGTCGTAGAGATTACGAATTACTGGCATAATTCGACCTGTGAATATCCCAAAATTCGTCGGTGATATTGAAGAAATGTGGTAAGTATGTCTTGACAAACTATCAAGTTGAAAGCAA